TAATAATATAATTTTTTATAAGAATAATAATTAAATATTTTGTTAGAAATCAATGATTATCTTAATTATATTTTAGATTTTTTATATTTAAAATAAAATGTTTATTTTGTATTAGACTATGTTTATCTGCAATTAGTTATACGAATTCAAACATGAAACTTTAATAAGTTGTAATTACGCATAACTTATTTGTAATTTTGAATTTTAAGTAATATATATCAATAAACATTATTTAATGCTTAAAAATGATTTTTAAGAGTTTTTGTATTTATGTGCTTTAGAGAAAGGGATAATTTTTTATTTTTGAATAAAGTATAAATTTGAAGACATCATAAAATTTCGAAAATATATCATTATTAGTATCAAATTAACTATTTAAAAGTTCTTGTTTTTTGTGTAATTTATTTTAATTCAATTTTTTAGGGATTTTCACGAAAATGACCAAAATATACCTGATGTATTAACGAAATAGTCATTTTTACGGGGTTTGCCAAAATAACCACATCGATCGCCCTGGGGCATGGTTTGAGTATCGGGGGCGATCCTCTCATATGTTGACCAAAAAGTACAAAAAAATGATATAAAATTAATTTTTGGGGCCCACATGTATCTACTTTAGGAAACCAAACACTATTTGCCTTGATAAATGAGATCGCCTCCCACCTCACTGGATCTTCCCCCGGGGGCGATCCAGGCTTTTTTGGGGTTGAACTCTATTTCGTCTTTTAGTGCAACAAGTTTCATTATAAATACCAACCTTCTCTTTGATTATTTTTCACACCTTATTTTTCATTTCTATTATTATATCTTCTACTCTCATAACCATTAATCCTTAAACATAATAAATCATCACAATCCTTAACCCATCAAACACTACCATCACAACCCATCACCCACACAAATATGAAATCACGTCAAAGTGATGATGTTTTGGTGTATCTTCTGAGTGGCGGTTTATTCTAGGAGATAAATGGTGTCTTAGAGTACCTTCCGTTAAGCTCCCCCGTACATGTATTACGTTTGCCTTCGCCAATAACGTATTCTGGTTTGGTTAAATGTGTTACAAAAAAGTTAAATTTAGGTAGTCCTTTCATTTTATTTTATGAAACGAATTCCTTACAAATATTACATCAGTTAAGCGATGACGACGATGTGTTAATGCTCCATAATGCCATTAATCAAAGTTACCGAAAATGTTGACACTCTTTGTGGTCGACGATAGTGGTTATGGTGGTAATCTATCAAGTGCCGTAATTCATCCATTGATCGGGGTCCGACTGTCCATAATAGTTATTGGCCAAAAAATCTCTGCTTTTGATCCACCATTGGGCCGGCTCCTCCAAATTTGTCGGCACCAACGAGATCAAGGGATGAGATTATTTCTAAAAATATATAAATCGATATAATTTTTTAACATAAATAACAAAAAAATGGCAAATCTTAAACTTATAATAAATGAAACCAAACTTTGTCAATAGTTGTGAACTGACAACACTCTTCCTATTTCAGCACTTTCTTTCGTTTCCATCCAATAGCCCTCGTGATTGAAGAACTATAACGGAAAAAAATGTTGGCTCGGGGAAATGTCTCCAAAATCCATATTTGGTAGGTTACAAAAAAAGATGGTGACAAAATATAAATTAATCTGTAAATAAGATATTATAAAAAAATTATAACTAACCTTGAATGCATATATGAAACCATATAATGTGTACTTATTTGGCGGCTAATTTCTGTGTTTGCGTCGCTCAAAAGCATTTTTCAGTTGTAACACCCTACATCATACATTGCATGTAACACATACTTCATTCAACAGAATACATGTATTACACCACTTAGGTCCCAAAATACAAGAAAATATCGTACAAAATACATAGCCCAAAAATTTCAAAATACAAGTTCTTGTACTGATCAACATTTGCCTATAAAACTAGATTCATCATAAACTGATTCTTCACACAGATATGCACATAGGAAAATATTACATTTTCCCCTTTCCCTTACCATTGTGCAACCCAGCAGTTCCTGCAATACATATTTAGAAAGACAAAACCACGGTTAGATCGGAAGGTCTAGTGAGATCCCTTTTCCATGTAATTGCAGGGTGAAGATCACCAAAACTTTATTTAAAATCAACTTTAAATATAAACAAATACATAAATATATAATTCACATCTACCGGTGGTCCCGTGCTCCTTTGATTCCAAAGCCAATCTCTAACTTTATAAGCAGTTTATTTAAGCATAAACAGGCTAGAACCTTTTAGGTTCCACATAACTGATCTCTAAACATTTCATCAGAAACACGGTTATTCAAG